CTAAAGGATTCAATTCCATATGATAAAGCTAGGTTCTTTAACAAAAGTCAAAAAGTCAACCCAAAAGTCAACTCCGGGCCCTAGTCTCGGAATCCCACCAAATTTATAAAATTCGAACACTCATTAAATAACAAGTTCAACCATACCAAAATTACCTAATTCTGACCTCAAATCTCCAAATATTACTCTCCAATATATAGGTAAAAAATCCCCAATTTTTACCTCAAAAACACCAAATCTATGGGGAAATTCAATGGGTATTCAATATTAATGAACAAAAATGATTAAAAGTGGCTTATCTCTTGAAATATAGTGAAACCCCTCTCAAAAATCGCAACTATCCGAACTCCCAAAGTTCAAAAATGAAGAAATAACTCTAACCCTTCGACTTTATGAATCTGCCAGTGCTTCCATTTATGCAGTCCATATATATAGCCATTTCTGCGATACCGCTTTTGCGATTAAAAATCCGCAACTGCGAAAAAATACTCAACCCCCGACCTGCCGCTTCTGTGCCCAAATGCTTGCATCTGACTGTGCTTGTGGTCCCACGTCCGCACCTGCACGCACAAGACAACATCTAAAACTCCGCACATGCGACCAACTTTCTACTTTTGCGGACCTGCAGATGCGGTTCTTCTCTGTACCTGTGACACTCCCCTGGCCAGACCAAGCTCCACTTTTGCGCCACTCCAGTTGCACCTGCGATGTCGCACTTACGGCCTATCCTACTGCATGTGCGAACACCAGAAGATCAACTATTTCAGCAATGCTTCCAGTCCAACTTTGATTCGTTAACCATCGAATACACCATAGGCCCCCGGTACCTCAACCAAACCTACTAGAAGTCCTAAAACATGATACAAACTTAGTCAAGGCCTCAAATCATGTCAGACAATATCAAAAGTACGAATCGCACCCCAATTCAAGCCTTATGACACTAATGGATTTTCAACTTCTACAATCGATGCCGAAACCTATCAAACCAACTCCGATCGATCTTAAATTTTACACACAAGTCATAAATGATATAACGGATCTATTTCAACTTTCGAACCAAAATTCGTGCTCGGTAACCACAAAGTCAACTCTCGATCAAACCTCTCAACTCTCCAAACTTCAACTTTTCCAACTTTTGCCAATTCAAGCCAAAATCACCTACGTATCTCCAAATAAATATACGGACACACTTCTACGGCCAAAACTACCATACGGAGCTGTCGGAACCATCAAACTGTATTTCGGAGTTATTTACATATAAATCAAGGTCAACTCTTCTAATTTAGGCTTCTAACCTTGGGACTAAGTTTCCCAATGTATTTCGAAACATCCACGAAACCAAAACAACCACCCCCGCAAGTGACATAACAACAAATGCGTATAGAATAAGCAATAAATGGGAAAATAGGGCTACAATACTCAAAATGATCAACCGGGTCGTTACAAATACGGGAGTTTGTATCGAATCATTAGCATTGATGTTTTTTATATTTTTTAAACCTTATTGAGATGAATATTTCCATCGCTATGGAGTAATATCCCTTAGGGTATTGAGATATGTGGTGTATTGATAACTTGATAAGGGATTCGATTCCTGATAATTGTTTGAATTAATTGATGGAGCTTTAAAGCATATTGTGAAGTTATTTATTATTTTGCTTAATTGAAGGAGGAGCTTTATATTGAATTTATTTACATCGTATATTCTAGTGTAAATTTGCGATTCAACTAGTTAATCAAAAGATCCTCTTGAATTATTAATCGAACTAGAAAATAGGAAAATATTCGTGAGAAGTCACCATTTAGACTATAACTATCATTTTATTTGTTGCAATTGTTCACTGTGCTTCAATTGGATTAATTATTGAAATTAACATTTAATCGAAAGAGGAACATTAACTTCAAGTGTAATCTGATTATCTGTTGAATTCGTGAGAATCAACAATATTATAGAGTGAACTAATTCAAGAACTGGATCCCGAGTCATTTATCCTGCACCTGTCTAGTCAATAACCCTTATTTCTCTCATTGATATTTTTTTGTTGCTCAATTGTTGTCTTTCGTGGTTAATTGACAATTGCTTAATTTTTACTAGTTAATCGTAGTTGATTATCATTCAACCAGGTATTAATTTTTCTGGATAGTAATTAACTAAAGATTACTCGAACATTGTTTAAATTGAATTCCTATGGAGACGATAATTTTACTATACTATCTTTGGCTAGGGGTGGGCATATATCGGGTAAAACCGATAACCCGGACCGTTAATTCTTTATTGGGTTATCGGTATTGGGTTATTGGGTTAATGGTTCGGTAACGGGTTAATTTTTTTTTATTGGGTTATCGGTTCGGGCTCGGTTTGCATTTTTGTTATTGGGTAAAAACCAATAACCCAATAAGAATGATGTAATTTACTAATTTACCCTTAAGTATATACTAGGGTTATTTATTTTCCTAATTCCCTCTTCACTCTTCAGTCTTCAGTCGTTTGTCTCTCAGTTCTCATTCTTGTTTCCGTCGCAGCCCCCAAGAGTCAAGACGCAAGACTCACCACCAGTTCTCCACCAGACATCAGTAGATACTGCACAGAAGTGAGAGCGTGCTTTTGTTAAGAAACAACAAAAGTTGGCAGTTTACACGTTCTGGCAGTTTGATTTCTTTGTTTATATATTGCAAAAATTTTTTAGTTGTTTTATGCTATCGGGTAAACCGATAACGATATATAACCGATTAACCGATAAACCGATAACGATATATAACCGATTAACCGATAAACCGATAACCAATATCTTATCGGTTTGGTTATCGGGTTATGATATTTGTAAACCGATAACCGATAGACAAAACCGATAATGTTCAAAACCGAACCGAACCGACCGATGCCCACCCCTATCTTTGGCTAGCAAATATTAGTTTTGTGTTGTGTTTTGTGCTCGTCATCTGTAACTTTTTGGGATTTCTTAGTTCTTTTGTTGCAAAGCCTACTACTGGTAGTCTTGAGAAAGTCTTACATCAATTGGCACTACATACTATCAGCTAGAGATAACTAAAAAAATATTAGATTTGCTCATTTTTTCCCCTGTATTGTCTAAATGTAATATGTATGCACTGGCATGACTTTTAAGTAGTTCTCTTGAAATATGTCACACACTTCGTCAATTCAGGAATCAAAGAGATGACTACAAAATTGGAAAACATGTGCCGGAGAATTTTGAATTTAACTCATAAGAAACATGTCCGTAGGAATATATATATCCATCACTTTCTTCTGCTCCTTGTACGTGTGGGTGTGTTTCGCACCTGGAAGAATTTTTTCGATGACATTTGGCAACGCCCCGTCACGTGAGTCACCACCCAGGCAGATTTCCGGACATCTTATACAGCTTTGGTGGTCTCCCCTTCGAATCGTCTTGACCCACCCAATTTCTAGTCGTTTCCGACGAGTTTTAGCACTCCGGCGGCATCCAGTGAGATTTTTCTGGCAACCCTAGGAGTGGCAGCAACGTGTGGCCTAAAACACAGGTCGACAACTTCTCGGTACCCAGGTTCTATTGTTCTTGCCCCTGAAATCTTCTATTTTGTGTTGGTAGTTCGTGCGTGTCTACACATATATTTGTTCCTTGAAATTTTGCTGATTTCCCTACGTTAGTCAAATTAATTGCTTTAGTATAGAACATTACCTGCCTGATTATTTTTGGCTGCTTATTCTTGCATGTGATTACCTGTTCTTTTCTGTTCTTTTGTCTTGATTCCAAACTTTAGCTTTAGTTATTTCACTTTTCTTTGAACTCTTTGCTTGCTTGATATTCCTATAGTGGCAGTGGTTAACAACGGGAGAGTAAAGTCACGTCCTCGGGTGGGGCGGGAGGTGGGGGGCAAGGGGATAAGGGTGACACTAGGTTGAGAATAGAGTCCTGGAACATAGGGACATTGACGGAGTCCAATGAGTTAGTGAAGATTCTCAAGAAGAGGAAGATCAATATAGCGTGTGTTCAAGAGACTAGATGAGTGGGCTCTAGGGCCGGGATGTAGGCGGTTTTAAGCTGTGGTACTTAGCAGGCGCGAGGGTAAGAGTAGGGTAGGTATTTTGGTTGATGCGGAACTCAGGGAGCTGGTGGTAGATGTTAGGCGGGGAACGACCGGCTGATGGCTATTAAGCTTGTTGTTGGAGGGTTGACTGTTCACGTTATTAGTGCTTATACGCCTTAAGCATCCTTGGGCGAGGAGGCTAAAAGATACTTCTGGGAGGAGTTGGATGAGGTTGTGCGAGGCGTTTCGCTCACTAACAAGCTTTTCATAGGTGGAGATTTCAATGGTCATACTAGGGCTTCTTCTAAGGGTTAGACGAAGTGCAAGCAGTTTCGATTTGGGAGTTAGAAATGAAGGAGGAACCTCGTTGTTGGATTTTGTTAAGGCCTTCGGTTTGGTTGTATCTAACTCACATTTTCATAAGAAGGAGGAGCACTTGATCACCTTCTAAAGTACGGTGGCCAAGACCCACTACCTTCTCCTTAGACGGTGTGATTGAGGCCTATGCTCGGATGGCAAGGATATTCCGAGCGCGAACATCGTGATTGTTGACATCCAATTTTATCCATCTTTTCTTCCAAATTATTTATTTGAGCTTCTAATATCGTTTTATTATGTAAGAATATTTATTTTACTATTTTATCTAATTAGTATTGTTATTTTATTATTCTTATTTTTGTCGCTATCATCATTAGATATTATTATTATTATTATTACTACTACGACGACGATGACGACGATTTTATATCTCAATTAATTTCATTCAACGTCAATCAACTAATATTATTCTCTTTTACAAATATTTTTCACTGCATTGCATTGATCCTACTCCTATTTATAATATAGTTATTCAGGTGATTTACATATTTATTACATGCCCATTTTAAATTAGTGATTATATACTAAATAGATTTTTACAACACAAATTTGTAATTATTTAAACACTAACAAATTATTTAATATAAATATTTACTACTAGGCATATCAAGATTTAAGAAAGCCAAATAAAAGATAAAGAAGAAGAGATTTAGCCCTTTCCATAGCCCAAATCGGAGGCTCATATCCACCAGCCCACCTACTCTACTTCTTTTCCATGTCAGCTCCACATAAGCCCTATGTCAGCGCCACATAGGCGCCAACGGTCTAAAACACACGCCAAGCACACCCTTCACACTCTGACCACACATTTTCTAGAGAATTCTATATATTTTTCTTTATTTTTATCTTGTTTTATCCTAAGCCTAATCTGAGTCATCCGTTATTTTAATCCAATGGTCAATATTTATCCCTTCAGTTAAATCCAATTTGCTAACCCTGATCTCTCTCCTAACCCAACAGACGCTTCTTCTCCTCCCTTTCCTCTTCTTCACAAAATTTCACCTTGCTCAGCCATGGCAGAACTTGCTATTACCATTTTTAACCAGAAGCTCTGCACCTTAATTAATTTTCTGCAACATCAACGTTCAATAACTTTCACTCAATTTCGAAATCCCGCCCAAACCAAGAACCCTAGAAATCAGCCTATAAATACTGACCTTTGAAGAGATTTTCGGACAAGCTCTGGGCCGCACCTTTACCCCACAAAAATGGTTGGAGCCGCCTACTTTCACCTCAAATTAGAGGGCTTCAGTCGCGCCTTTTACCCCCAAAAAACTAAGGCTGGAGCCCCCTCCTTTTACCTTTGTTTAGCCGCTATCTCTACCTCTCAAAAAGGTTTCTTCTTTTTAATCTCTCAGTTCTGTTGTTTTGTAACCAAAACAGAAGCTTTTTTTTTTTATTTGTCCCGGTGATTAATCGTTAGTTCGGGTAGCAAGTTCAGAGGTCGGAGTTCGATAGTGCACCTAAGATCCCCGCCTCAGTTTGCTTCCCTGCAAAAAGTTCGTATCTTTTTCTCTTTCGCAATATTTCGGTTCTGATTAGAGCATGTTCGATACTTGATGCATCTTTGTTTCAATACATGTTAGTTTTTGTTAGGCTTCCACATTTTAATACTATAAAGATGGGTGTTTGCTTTTATTTCTGTTTACCTTTAGTTTGGTGAAAGGATTCTATGACTAAAGTTATTAGAAATAATTTTTTTAAGGAGGTTATGCTCTGTATATGCATTGAAACATGTCTGCCTATATTTGATAAAATGCTCATATGAAAATACCCATTTTTCTTTTGCATAGTTCTCTGTCAGATTCCATAATTTTAAGAAAGATTTTGTCAAGGACTAGGTGTGTTGCAAAAGATTCATTTGTCATGTGATTTAGGACTTTTTATTAGGCACCATGTCTAGGATTCGAACATTTTGTTTTAAGAACAGATTTAGTTAAAAGTAAACTGTTTGGTTTACTTCATGTCGTTCACACCCTAGATTTGGTTTATTTTAACTCATGTCTTAAAAAAATGATCTCCTCTTCATTATTGATTGTAAGGGCTCATGAATGACTATAGAAGATTGGTTTACTCAGTGTACTTTAAGAGGATCACATTTAGGCAATAAAATTATTAATTATTCATTTAAGCATTAAAGAAAAGCAGTCTGTTGAAGTATGAAGGTACATACTCATGGCTTTAGATTATCCTTCACCTGAGGTCTAGATACTATAACTATTGGATATTAAGCTCACAATTTAAAAATGTTTGATTCAAAACTTTCTTCATGCATATCTAGAAACGTGGATTTAAGAAACTAAAAGTATTGATGTAAGTTTGATTGGTTCTTTCATGGTTCTCCGGAAAAAATCATATCTTTTTGAGGTATTGTAATTAGCCTTTAAATCAAAAATGGAATTTTCGCATTTGACAAAGAATCTGTCTAATTCCCTTATATTTTCTTGCTATTAAATGAGTTTGTCTTTCTCGTGAACTAGAAATTAGTTTCTAGGAATCTATTTGAATTTCAAAGACCATAAGAGGGGAGAATACATACCGCTCTTGTTTTACTAGGTCTCGGCATCATTGTGATCAGTATTTTTTGGAATAACTCGATTACTTAGTTGAGATTATAAGTTAAATATGCACATGTTGACTAGTGGATCTCATGCCTGTTGCTTTTCTTGCCTTATGTCAATTTTAGTTGCCATGAATTAGAAAGTTGTTTTACTCGGTTAAGATCTCTATCTATGAATAATGTTCTGCTTTTGGACAAACGCCTTGATTTTACTTGAGATACTGCTATCAGAAAGCATATCGTAGGAGATTATTTAAAATGCACATTGTTCATAATTCTCAGTAGCTTAAATAGGCAGTACTAATATGAAGGGAGTAATTAACCAAATGCTACATTGATGACTAATCCGTTCTTGTTCGGAAATTAAGAAATTGTGAATCGATGCGTTTCTTTAATTTGGTGCATTTTAATTGTCCTTACAATGTATAGCAGTATAAGGCTTCCTTACTAATCTTTATTTTTCCTTTTTTTTTTGCATGAACACTTGGAGCGATACGACTCTCCTCTACCCAAGCATGGAGTCATTATATTTCATATTCCTATAGATGCACCGGATAGCAAGAAAACAAGTAAAACGCTTGGGGACGTCCTTCTTTTCTATTCATTATCATTCATGCGATTTAATTCTACTTGTGTGATTTGACTTCATTTTTATTTTGAGATTATATGTTAGAATTCATATTAGCATGGTCGTATTTAGCTATCCTTGTTTCGTATAATCGATTTGGTACTATTTTAATCACATAACATATAGGCTTCAGATATAAGAATTTGGAATCCGTTCTCTTTTAAAATAATGCTTTCCAAAAGCCTTTCATTAAAATCTTTTCTAATGGCGTTAAGCACAAAATGTTACGAAGGCATTGAGATTCCTTTTAAGTTACCTTTTTTCAATGACTACAAAATATTTTAACCACTTCACATTAGTTATTTTATATTGGTCTCACACTTTTTTTTTAGCCATTAATTAACGTAAGTTTAGTTGGTTAACCGTAGTTAACAGATCACATAGGGTGCCTTCATAACCTTCCCTATAGGATTAATTAGAACCCTTACCCATAATCCATAAAATTGAATTAACTTTACTGCATTATTTAGTTATTAGGTGTCCTAATTCACCTTTAAAATAATTAGGTGGCAACTCTTTTTAATAAATTAAACCTCAGATTTATTAATATGTTATACTCTAATTTGACCCGTGTTAAAATAGGGTATAACAGTGACCCAACATAAGCTCTTTTATGGACTTAGGGGTCGTTTGGTAGGGTGCATAAGAATAATGTTGAATATGGTGTATTAATAATGCTGGTATTAGTTATGCTTGCATTAGTTATGCTGGTATTAGTTATGTTGACATATTTCTTATCCATTGTTTGGTTTGATATATTAAAGTATTGCACAATTTCTAAAAGAATTATTTGTTTACAAAAATGCCCTCAAATCTAGTCCACACTCTAACTTTTTAAAAGAAACATATGTTAGAGAAATATTTTTATATGAAAAAGTTTTTAAAAAATTATTTTATTTGTCTACCTATGTTGTAAAATAAAATTAAATATTTATTTATAAAAAAGGAAATATGCTAAGTATTTATTTATTTACTAGGGATATAATTTTATTTCTCACTATTTGGATTATTTTGAACTTGCATTAATATACTAACTAGTATATTTTAATAAAACATAAATTTTGAAGGACAATTTTATCTTTAACTAAGCTAATGCATGCATTAAAATCCATTGCATTGCTAATACCATTGTTTTCTATGCATTAGTTATGCATAGGATAATACCAAATAGGATGTATAACTAATGCGTGCATAACTAATGCATAGGTTCAAAATGTCTATCAAACAATGTATTATTAATACACAAAGTTAATGCATGCATTAATTTATCTAATGCATCCTACCAAATGACCCCTTAGAGATTAAGAGGCGGGGGAGTAAGAGGGCGGTGTATGGTCTACCTAAGATTAACTGGGGAGCCTTGACTAAGGATTTGTCTCTGCGGTTAGGGGAGAAGTTGCAGGCTATGGGGTCCTGGATGATTAGTGGGGAAGCGAGCAGTATGTGGACATCGACAATGAATTGTATTCAAGAGGCTACTAGAGAGGTATTAGAGCTTCGAAGGGTCACCATAGTACTCACAAAGGGGACTGGCGGTGGAATGCTAAAAAAAACTGCGTATTTGAAATTAGTAGAGAGCAAAGACGAGGCGAAGTTAGCTATTACGGAGGCCAAGACTGCAGCGTTTAGTCGATTAGTGATGAATTTGGGGCCAAAGGCGGGGACAAGAATACAAGCTAGACAAGGTAAGGGAGAGAAAGGCATGTGACCTAGACCAAGTGAAATGCATTAAATATGAGAATGGAAATGTATTGGTGGATGACACGCATATTATAAGAAGATGGCAGACGCACTTTCATAGACTCTTGAACGAATAGGGGATAAGAGCTTTATGCTGGGTGACTTGGAGCACTCCGAGAGTTGTCTACATTTTAGATATTGCAGGCGTATCAAGGTTGAAGAGGTTATAAGAGTTATGCGTAAGATGAGTAGGGGGAAAAGCAACCGGGCCAAATGAGATCCCAGTTGAATTTGGGAAGAACACTGACAGGGCAAGTTTGGAGTGGCTTACTAGGTTATTTAATGTTATTTTTGGGACGACGAAGATGTCCGAAGAATGGAGGTGGAGTACGGTAGTTCCAGTGTACAAAAATAAGGGTGATAACTAAAACTACAACATCTATAGGGGTATCAAGCTGCTAAGGCACACGATAAAAGTTTGGGAGAGGTTGGTGGAAGTAAGAGCGAGGAAAAGTATATCTATCTCTGAGAACCAGTTCAGATTTATACCGGGGCGATCGACCACTAAAACCATTCACCTTATTAGGAGGCTGGTGGAGCAGAATAGGGATAGAAAAGTGGGACTTACACGTGGTATTCATTGACCTAGAGAAAGCCTACGACAAAGTCGCGAGGAAGGTGCTATATATGGAGATGTTTGGAGGTTAGAGGTGTGCATGTAGGTTATACTAGGGTGATTCAGGATATGTATGATGGTGCTAAGACCCGAGTTAGGACGGTGGGAGGGAACTCAAAACATTTCCCAATTGTGATGGGTTTGCATCAGGGATCCGCCCTTAGCCCGTTTTATTTGCCTTAGCGATGGATGTTCTAACGTGGCACATTCAAGGTGATGTTCCATGGTGCATATTATTCGTGGATGATATAGTACTAATTGACGAGATGTAGGCCGGTGTTAATGCAAGGCTGGAGGTCTAGAGATGAACCTTGGAGTCAAAAGGTTTTAAGTTGACCAGGACTAAACCAGAGTACTTGAAATGTAAGTTCAGCTGTGTGACTCAGTAAGAGGACGTGAAAGTGGGGCTAGATTCACAAATAATTCCCAAGAAAGAGAGTATCAAGTACCTTAGGTATATAATTTCTAGTAACGGTGAGATAGACGAGGATGTCACACATTAGATTGGAGTTGGGTAGATGAAATGGAAGCTCGATTCGGGGTTTTGTGTGATAAGAAGGTACCACCAAGACTCAAAGGCAAGTTTTACAGAGTAGTGGTTAGATCAACTATGTTGTATGGTTCAGAGTGTTGGCCGGTCAAAAATGCTCTGTACAGCAGATGAAAGTAACAGAAATGAGGATGTTGAGATGGATGTGTGGGCACACCAAGAGAGAGAAGATTAGGAATGAAGTTATCCGAGGAAAGGTGGGAGTGGCCCCCGTGGAGGATAAGATGCGGAAAGCTACGTTGAGATGGTACGGACATGTGAAGAGGAGGAGTATAGATGCCCCGGCGATGATGTACGAGAGGTTGGCCATGGTGGGGTGGAGGAACGACAGAGGTAGACCTAGGAAGTACTGGGCAGAGGTGATTAGGCATGACATGGTGCACCTTCAGCTCGCTGAGGATATGACCCTTGATAGGAGGATGTGGAAGTTGGGAATTAAGGCAGAAGGTTAGCAGTTAGGCGGGAGTGTCTCAATTTCATGTCGATCACATTAGTATTACTTTTTTATTTTCATATATTCATATCTGTAGATTTTTTTACCTTATGTTGATCATCTCGCTTCGATTATTCTATCACCTTGTCTCTCTATCACATTATCTTGTTGATGTTACTACGTGTTGTGTCTGCTTCTTTTACTTTTATCTTGAGTCGGGGTCTATCAGAAACAATCTCTCTGTCTTCACAAGGTAGGGGTAAGGTCTATGTACACTTTACCCCAGACCCTACTTTATGGGATTTACATTAGGTTTGGTGTTGATTATATTTTAAGTTCACTTTGTAGTTCCAGTTTGCTCGAATTATTTTTTATAAGGGAAACTAAGAGGAGATTTGGCACATATTTTTTTTAACGAAAGTATTTACTTATTCACCTTGAGCTCGGGCCCGGGCTCAGCACGAGTTGCTCTTAACTAGTTGAGATTAGAATGTACACATTCTAACTATTTAAAGTTCTTGAATAATTGGAAGAAAATAAAAATTATTTAACTCTCCATTAGTAATAGTGTCATATTTTTTTAAATGTATTTAATACAGTTTTTTAACAACAATACACGACACGATAAAAGATGTTATTGATATATATAAATGTGTATAGTGTAAAACTATTATTTTTATAGTACATGTGTGTGAATTACTTTAATAGTGGACATGTATAACTAAAAGGTATGAATATGTAAAAGTTATCAATCTCATATGATTTTTTTGGCTAACGTACAAAATAGTCAATTATGTATCAAGCATGTTAACTACAACAAAAATAACAATACATTTAGTGTATACGTAGACCATAATCTTATAAGTTGTTTTCGACAGTCTCACCTCAAGAAAAGAGTAATCCCAACGGACATGAAAAGTGGAAAGCATGTTAAATAAATACTACTACCGTATTTGATATTTTAGAAGTGATAGATTTGTAGGTGATATAAATGCCCTACATACACGTGTATGTTTTGTTTTTCCTTCAAAAAAGCTGTTTGTGAATTTAATGAACATGGTAAATCTAGCTATCAATTGATTTGGTTGAATCCAAACCATCACCACAATTTGAGCTTTTAATCCAAAATATATAAATTTTATGTGAAATGATAACGTATGATCTTCCACAATTAATTTATGAAAGAATTACAAGAAAATACACATGACTTTACACCATAACAAAAAATAGCCCATGTTTTTAAATTTTACCCAATCTAGCTTATACTGTACAACAACAACAACGACCCAGTATAATCCCACAAGTGGGGTCTGGGGGGTAATATGTATGCAGACCTTACCCCTACCCCGAAGGATAGAGAGGTTGTTTCCAGGAGACCCTCGGCTCAAAAAAGTAACAGGAGACGATATATTAGTACCATAAAAATGCATAATAAAATAACAGCTTTATAAGAGATATGAAATACAGAATACGAAATACGAAATAGATGGCTGGTATAGTAAAAACTAGCAGGTAAAGCCCTGCATCAATAGACGACCAATGACATTCTTAGTCTAACTCATAACTGGCTAGTCTCACTCTATTGTGTTGTAGAAATATTCACAACTTTCCCCTAACCTACAACCTTAATGCTCGACCTCCATAATTCCCTATCAAGGGCCATGTCNGCAGACCCTTGGTGCAACCCCGTAATAACTGGAAAGTGTTTAGAGTCGCCTCCTACTGTCCTAACCCGAGTCTTAGCTCCAGCATACATGTCTTTAATCACCCTAATATAGTCAACCGGGACCCCTTTATCCTCTAAGCATCTCCATAAGACCTCCCTAGGAACCCTATCGTACGCTTTCTCCAGATCAATAAACACCATGTGGAGATCCTTCTTCCTATCCATGTACTGTTCCACCATCCTCCTAATAAGGTGGATAGCTTCTGTGGTACATATTTTGAAAATACTAGCTCTTGCAAATTCAAAATCTTTGTTCTTACAAGTTACAACCATTGCTTCTAAATGCTATGGAGTTAACTCTGTGTTTTCACAACCATTGCTTTCACTCTCTCTTCTTCTTACATCTTTTACATATGCTTCAATAGGTCATCCCCCATTACTGCTTCTCCCACTATGTCACCTGGTTGTAATGTAAAAAGTTGAAGAGTAGAAGTCCACCATTGAAGGCCATTAAAAGTCTTGCTTTCGAAAATATAATTTTTTGAGTTTGTTAATTGTTTAGATTGGGTGTTGTTCCAATTGATTGAAAATATCAAAAGGAGTTCAAAATTTAAATTTGAAGTGATTTGGAGTAGATTTGAGAAATATTTGAGTTAAATTTCAGAAAAGACGCAAGGAAGAAGATGAAGTCAGTTTTTTTGTATAATTATGTATAATCTTGTATAATAGTGTATGTGAGTGTATAAACACATCTTATATACTATTATACACTTTTATACGCCTTTATACAAGCGTCTGCAGACGAACTTCGACGAACTTCTTTCACGATTTTCAGTTGTAATTCTTATTCAAAACTAGTCCAAATCTCCATTAAATTACTTCATTTTATATACAACCTCCTTATACTATTTCTTCTAACTGTGATGACCCAAAAGGTCATCACTTGTGTTGCAAGCATCACTTGTGTTGCCAGTAAATTCAGTGTTTCGAGACCTGAAAACCTCTTTTTTACCTCACCTTGATTTGTGTCTGTGGTCCGGACCCATATCCGGAAAGCCTGTGAAAAGATGAGAAATAGAAATTTCTAGAGTTAAAATTTAATTTTTGGTTGACTTTGGTCAATATTTTGAGCAAACGGACCCGGATCCGTGTTCCGACGATCCCGCTAGGTCCGCAGTAAAATATGGGACTTGGATGTATGCTCGGAAATGAATTCTGAGATCCCAAGCCTTAGAAATCAATTTTTGAAAGAAATTATTTTACTGAATTATCTAAGAAATGAAGAAAAGAATTAATCTTTGAAACCATTGGTATCGGGCACGTATTTTGGTTTCGGAGTCCGGTACAAACTTGTTGTAGTATTTAAAAGATAAATGTGAAATTTGGTGAAAAACGGAGTTTATTGAAGTGAGTTGGACTTCCGGCTGAAAAGTTATGAACTTTGAGAGTTCTTGATGAAAATGTTGAGTTTTGAGGTTTAATTCATGATTTTACAAGTTATTTTGATGATGTGATTGCACGAATAGGTCCATATGATGCTTTTGAGTTAGTATGCACGTTTAGTTTGAAGTCCCGAGGGCTCGGGTGAGTTTCGGGTAGGTTCCGAGATGTTTTAGGCTTAAAACATAGTTGTTGCAGGTCCAGAGATGTTGCAGATCTCTGAACCCACCAGTACTGACCGCATTGATTTTGTGCTGACCGCGGAGGGGCTTTTGCGGCCGCACTCCTTTTTGTGCGGTTCGCGGTGAGGAAGGATTTCACTAGTCTGATTTCGGAAGCTTATATCTTTTGATCTACAAAGAATTTTGATATGATTCAAAAACGAAAGTTGTAGCCCTTCGTGTCTAGTTTCCATAAAGGTAAACAAATCACAATTTGGACATTTGTAGAGAAAGTTATGGCCAAAATATTAAAGCATGTCACTACAGTCAACATTGTGAGCTCCGCGGCCGCACTCATTTTTGTGTGGTCCGCACAGGGGGTCTGAGAAGGGTATATTTAAACGGAATTTTCAGTTATTTTTCATTTTTCAAAACCCCAAAAACATAAGAGGCGATTTTTCAAACAACCTTTCTTCTCCAAAACATTAGTAAGTGATTTCTAACTCATTTTCTTTACCCCTTAACTTCTTTTTACAAGATTTCATCCTAGAATCAATGGTTTTCATGGGGAAAATTGGGTGTTTTGGGTAGAACCTAGGTTTTTCAAATTTTGGGGATTTGGACCTCGATTTGAGGTCAATTTCAAAACAAATTATATATTTGGGTTCGTGGGGGAATGGGTAATCGGGTTTTGGTTCGAACCTCGGGTTTTGACCATGTGGTCCCGGAGGCGATTTTCGACTTTTTGGAAAAAACTTTAGAAAACTTATTTCCATGCATTAGAAATGATTCATTTAGCACTTATTAATATTATTAAGTAACTTGTGGCTAGATACAAGAGAGTTGGTGGTGGAATCAAGAGGTAAAGCGATAGTTGAGGCTTGAATTGTGTTCGTGGCATCGAGGTAAGTGTTTGGTCTAACCTTAGCTTGAGGGATTAGGAGTTGTGTCTTATTTGCTATGTGCTAATTGTGGAGTACGACGTATAGGCATGGTGACGAGTATCTATACGTCGGTGTCAAGCATGCCCGTGAGTCTTGTACTGTAATTGTTGTGATTCCGTTGAGGTTTATTGTGCTTCATATGAGGATTATCATTATTGTTCCCTTGCCGAGACGTTGTTGTCATATTGTTGTTCCCTTGCCGAGAATATTATTGTTCCCTTACCGGGATGTTATTGTTATAGTATTATTCCCTTGCCGGGATATTGTTGTTATATTATTGTTCCCTTGCCGGGATTCTGTTATGATTGGTATTGATAAATGAAAAGGGAACGAGTTGCACGCCTGAAACAGTAACATATGAAATGGGAGTGGGTTGCATGCCTGCAACGGAAATATATGAAATGGGAGCGGGTTACACGCCTGCAACGGTAAATATATGAAATGGGAGCGGGTTGCATGCCTGCAATGGTAAATATATGAAATGGGAGCGGGTTGCATGCCTGCAACGGTAAATATATGAAATGGGAACGGGTTGCACGCCTGCAACGGTAAATATATGAAATGGGATTGCATGCCTGCAACGGTAATATATGAAATGGGAGCGGGTTGCACGCCTGCAACGGTACAATATAAAATGGGAGCGGGTTGCACGCCTGTAACGGTACTATATGAGATGGGATCGGGTTGCACGCATGCAACGGTATTACATGTGTACTTGTTCTTCTTATTTCCTTATCTTTGCTGGTAATTGATTTATAGCATTCCTTATAATTATCTATTGTTGTTACCTGTTACTCCCCGCAACATGTTTCCCCCGCCCAACTTTAGTCGTAATTATCTGCTTCTATTTCTGCTGTATATGATTTAACTGCACACGTTTATTTGGTAGTCTGGTCCTAGCCTCATCACTACTTCGCCGAGGTTAGGCTAGGCACTTACCAGCACATGGGGTCGGTTGTGCTGATACTACACTTTGCACTCTTTTGTGCAGATCCCAGTGCTGTAGACTTCGGACCGCAGTGAGATTGTTATTTTTGTTCATCAAGCGACTCGAGGTTGTCCTGCAGGCGTCCGCAGGCCTTGGCGTCTCTTTCTATCTGCTATTCATGTTTCTTTAATGTATTTCCAGAGACAGTGTTGTATTTTTTTTTTAGACCTTTATTTGTAGCACTTATAGACAGTCTGTGAAGTTGTGACACCAGTCTTGGGTAGATTTGTTATGGATTGGTATTAGCAGTATTATTAAAACTTTACAATGCAGCCTTCCGGTTATTCAATTATGTTGTTATCTAATTGTTGGCTCTTAACTGTTATCGGATTAAAAATGGAAATAAGGTAAATAGTTCAGTTGGTTGGCTTGTCTAGCTTTTACTAATAGGCGTCATCACGACTCCCGAGTGTGGGAAATCCGGGTCGTGACAAGTTGGTATCAGTGCTCTAGATTACATGGGTCTCACAATTCACAGACAAGCTTAGTAGAGTCTGAGGGATCGGTACGAAGACGTCTGTATTTATCCCCTAGAGGCTACAGAGTTAGGAAAAGTTTCACTTCTACTCTTCTCTGTCGTGCGATTTTGTTCTCTCAATGCTAAATTGAAACCTCTACTCTTGCCCTTTCGCAAATAGCGAGGTCACATAGCGCTTCTTCAGCCGAGCAGCAGCACAGACCGGTGATAGATCAGCTACATCTTCGAAGGCTTTGTGGAGGTTGGATAAGTTTCACCAAGCTCTTCACTACCACTTCCAGCGGTGCATCTTCTGAGGATCCCCAATATTATTTAGGCAGTTGTTGTGAGGTTCTCTGGAACATCGGGATAGTGGAGACCAATGGGGTCGACTTTGTTACTTTTTGCTTATCTGGATCCACCAAGACTTGGTGGAGAGATTATTGCTTGGCTAGACCAGCCGGATCGCCAGCTTTGACTTGGGAGCAGTTTACTCAGCTATTTCTGGAGAAGTTTCTCCCTATCACTCAGAGTGAGATCTACCGGAGGCAATTCGAGCGTCTCCAGCAGGGTTCTATGACTCACTCAGTACGAGACCAGATTCATCGACTTGGCCCATCATGCTATTATCATACTTCCTACCGAGAGAAAGAGGGTGAGGAGGTTCATTGATGGACTTATTCAGCCTATTCGACTTAAGATGGCTAAGGAGACAGGGAGTGAGATTTCTTTTTAGGAGGCGGCCAATGTGACCAGGAGAGTTGAGATGGTTCTGTCGCAGGGAGGTGGTCAGGGGTCTGATAAGAGGCCTCGTCATTCAAGCAGATTCAGTGGCGCCTCGTTTGGAGGCAGAGATTCTTTTGGTAGAGGCCATCCTCCTAGGCCTTTTCAGTCAGCACTTCAGGCTTCTTATAGTGCCCCGGGTGGCCGTGGTTCTCACATGCAGTATTCCGATCAGCAGTCCTACAGTGCATCATCTCCTATCAGTGCACCTCCACTTCAGAGTTTTCAGGGTCGCCAGCCCCAGCATCCGAGGGCTTGTTTTACTTGTGGCGACACGAGGCACATTGCTAGATATTGTCCTCGAGCATCGAGCAACTATCAGCATTCGGGTTCCCGTGCCATGGTTCAGGCACCGAGTGTTCCACAGCCCGTCCAGCCAGCTAGAGGTGGATGTGGAGGTGTTAGAGGTGGAGCTCAGGTCGCTAGAGGTAGAGGTCAGCCAGCTGCAGGTCGTCCCATAGAGGTAGTCCATGGTAGTAGGACCCAGCCCCGATGTTATGCTCTTCCAGCCAGGCCTAAGGCTGAGGCTTCTGATGCAGTTATCACAGGTACGGTTCTGGTTTGTAGTAGGGATGCTTCAGTGTTATTTGATCCATGGTCTACATACTCTTATGTGTCATCTTATGTTGTGATGTATTTGGTCATGCCTAGTGATTCTTTGAGTGCTCATGTTTATGTGTCTACACCGATGGGTGATTCTATAGTGGTGGATCGTGTCAATCGTTCATGCATAGTTGTGATTAGGGGTCTTGAGGCTCGTGTAGATTTGTTACTATTGGATATGGTTGATTTTGATGTCATATTGAGGATGAACTGGCTATCACCTTACCACGCTATCTTGGACTGTCATGCCAAAATTGTGACCTTAGCCTTGTCGGGTTTATCTCGTTTAGAGTGGAGAGGGACTCCTGGTCATTATACCCGTAATGTTATCTCATATATAAAGGCTCGGCGTATGGTTAAGAAGGGGTATTTGGCCTATTTGGCGTATATTCGTGATTTTGTGCCTGTTGTTCGTGAGTTTCCTGAGGTATTTCCTTCAGGAGCAGTTGACTTTTGCATTGATTTGGCTTTGGGCAATCAGCCCATTCCTATCCCGCTGTATCATATGAACCTGCCTGAGTTGAAAGAGTTGAATGAGCAGTTGCAAGACTTACTTGAAAAAGTCTTCATTAGACCTAGTGTCTCGCCTTGGGGTGCGCTGGTGTTGTTTGTTAAGAAGAAGGACGGATCGATGAGAATGTGCATAGATTACTGGCAATTGAACAAGGTTACAATCAAGAATAAGTATCCATTGCCGAGGATTGATGATTTGTTTGACCAGCTTTAGGGTGCCTAAGTGTTTTCTAAGACTGACTTGAGATCTGGCTACCATCAGTTGAGGATTAGGGTATCTGATGTCCCTAAGACAGCTTTCCGCACTCGGTACGGGCATTATGAGTTCTTGGTGATGTCATTTAGGTTGACAAAATGCCCCAGCAGCTTTTATGGATTTGATGAACCGAGTGTTCAGGCCTTACTTGGATTCGTTCGTGATAGTCTTCATTGATGATATTTTGATCTATTCCTGCAGCCGGGAGGAGCATGAGCAGCATCTTATAGTGATTCACCAGACTTTGAGAGACAGTCAGTTGTATGCCAAGTTTTTGAAGTGCGAGTTCTGGTTGAGTTCGGTTGCATTCCTAGGTCATGTTGTATCAGCAGAGGGTATTCAGGTAGACTCGAAGAAGATAGAGGCAGTCAAGAACTAGCCTAGACCAACATCAGCTACATAGATTTGGAGTTTCTTGGGATTGGCGGTCTACTATCATCAGTTTGTGGAGGGGTTTTCATCTAGTGCAGCTCCGATGAACAGGTTGACCCAGAAAGGTGCTCCGTTTAGGTGGTCAGATGAGTGTGAGGCGAGCTTTCAAAGCTCAAGACAGCCTTGACTACGGTGTCAGTGTTGGTTTTGTCCACAGGTTCAGGGCCTTATACAGATTGTTGTGATGCATCTCGTATTGGACTTGGTGCGGTGTTGATGCAGGATAGCAAGGTTATTGCATATGCTTCGCGTTAGTTGAAGATTCATGAGAAGAACTATCCGGTTCATGATTTAGAGCTAGCAGCCATTGCTCACGTGTTGAAGATTTGGAGGCATTATCTATATGGCGTGTCATGTGAGGTGTTCACGAATCACAAGAGTCTGCAGTACTTGTTCAAGCAGAAGGAGCTAAATTTGAGACATAGGAGGTGGTTGGAGCTATTAAAGGACTATGATATCACCATCCTATATCATCCGGGAAAGGCCAATGTGGTGGCCGATGCTTTGAGTAAAAAGTCAGCCAGTATGGGTAGTCTTGCATATATTCTGGTCGGTGAGAGACCGCTTGCCTTGGATGTTCAGGCTTTGTCCAATCAGTTCGTGAGGTTGGATGTTTCTGAGCCCAGCCGTGTGTTAGCTTGCACAGTTGCTCGTTCTTCATTATTAGAGCGTATCCGAGATCGGCAATTCGATGATCCTCATTTGTGTGTCCTTAGGGACACGGTGCAACACAGAGGTGCCAAGCAGGTTACATTAGGAGATGATGGAGTTTTGAGGCTGCAGGGTCGAGTTTGCATGCCTAATGTGGATGGGCTTCGAGAGTTGATTTTAGAGGAGACCCATAGTTTGCGGTACTCTATTCATCTAGGCCCCGCTAAGATGTATCAGGATTTGCGGTAGCATTATTTGTGTAGGAGGATGAAGAAGGATTTCGTTGCATATGTGGCTCGATGTTTGAATTGCCAGCAGGTTAAGTACGAGCATCAGAGGCCCGGTGATTTGTTTCAGAGGATTGAGCTTCCCGAGTGGAATTGGGAGCGGATCACTATGGATTTTGTTGTTGGACTCCCACAGACTCGGAGGAAGTTCGATGCAGTGTGGGTTATTGTTGATAGGCTAACCAAGTCAGCGCATTTCATTCCTGTGGCAGTCTCCTATTCTTCTTAAAGGTTAGCTGAGATCTATATCCGGGAGATTGTTCGTCTTCATGGTGTGCCCGTGTCTATCATTTCGGACCGAGGTACCCAGTTTACCTCACGTTTCTAGAGGGCAATTCAGCGAGAGTTAGGCACACAGGTTAAGTTGAGCACAACATTTCATCCTCAGACGGACGGGCAGTCCGAGCGTACTATTCAGATTTGGGAGGATATGCTCCGAGCTTGTGTCATTGACTTTGGCGGCTCGTGGGATCAGTTTTTGCCTTTAACAGAGTTTGCCTATAACAACAGCTACCAATCGAGTATCCAGATGGCTCCTTATGAGGTTTTGTATGGTAGGCGGTGTCGGTCGTCGGTTGGATGGTTTGAGCCTGGAGAGGCTCAGTTGTTGGGTATGGATCTAGTACAAGATGCCTTGGACAAGGTCAGGATTATTCCGGATAGGCTTCGTACAGCTTAGTCCAAGTAAAAGAATTATGCCGACCGTAAGGTTCATGATTTGGCTTTCATGGTCGGTGAGCGGGTATTGCTTCGAGTGTCGCCTATGAAGGGCGTGATGAGATTTGGGAAGAAGGGCAAGCTTAGCCCTAGGTTCATGGGCCATTTGAGATTCTTGATCGAGTGGGGGAGGTAACTTACAAACTTACGTTGCTGCCGAGCTTATCAACCGTGCATCCAGTGTTCCATGTGTCCATGCTTCGGAGGTATCACAACGATCCATCCCACGTGTTGGACTTCAACATTGTCTAGTTGGACAAGGACTTGTCATATGAGGAGAAGCCGGTAGCTATTCTAGACCGGTAGGTTCGTCAGTTGAGGTCGAAGAGTTTCCCTTCTGTTCGTGTTCAGTGGAGAGGTCAGCCTGCAGAGGCATCGGCCTGGGAGTCCGAGTCCGATATGTGAAGTCGTTATCCCCATCTTTTTTCCGACTCAGGTACTTCCTTCTTATGCCCGTTCGATGAAGAACGGTTGTCACTTGTGTTGCAAGTAAATTCAGTGTTTCGAGGCCTAAAAACCTCCTTTTTACCTCACCTTGATTTGTGTGCATGGTCCGAACCCATATTCGGAAAGCCTTCTATGTGAAAAGA